ATCCCCCACTCCTCCTTCCTCCTCCCGCTTCCACATACACAGTCACGGTCCTAACCCACACAGTCACGCTCCTAACCCACACAGTCACGCTCCTAACCCACACAGTCACGGACCTAACCCACACAGTCACGGTCCTAACCCACACAATCACGGTCCCAACCCACAATCACGGTCCCAACCCACACAATTACGGTTCCAACCCACACAGTCACGGTCCTAACCCACACAATCACGGTTCCAACCCACACAATCACGGTCCCAACTCTCACAATCACGGTCCCAACCTACACAATCACGGTTCGAACCCACGCAATCACGGTTCGAACCCACACAATCACGGTTCGAACCCACACAATCACGGTCTCAAGCACACAATCACGGTGCCAGCCTACACAGTCACGGTGCCAGCCTACACGGTCTCAAGCACACAATCACGGTGCCAGCCTACACAGTCACGGTGCCAGCCTACACAGTCACGGTGCCAACCTACAGTCACGGTGCCAGCCTACACAGTCACGGTGCCAGCCTACACAGTCACGGTGCCAGCCTACACAGTCACGGTGCCAACCTACAGTCACTGTGCCAGCCTACACAGTCACGGTGCCAGCCTACACGAAGACCCACTGTTCCATGCTCCACAGTGTGGGTCTGGGCACACTGACACATGGAGGTGAACACATAACCCAAGATCGGAAAAGAGGCTAACAAAGTAATAAATAAAGAGGCACATATAAATAACGGAGAAATAAATATTAAATGTATATACATATAGGTGAACACTGATTAATAAAGAAGCAGTTTATGACAAGATGAAACTCCACCATAACGTGATGTCTTCCTGACTGACTATATATGGAGCGAGAGTAATGGAGAGGAAGCGGCGAGGCACTCACTCCCTATACCACTATATACTATACCACTATGTTTTTTTTTTAAATTTTGCCCGGGGGGGGGCGAGTTTATTGAGCAGCGCCGCTCATCTTGTGAGTGGACACACCGCCATAGCAGCATGTACAACACTCCCCAATAGGAAGAAAACCCGCTGGGTTGTTCATCCTGTCACTTGTACCCAGACACAGCTGGGACTTGCTTAACTATCTCAAGTGAACAGCTCCTCAAACAAGAAGATTAACATGTATCAACCCTTAAACGCTTACGTTATCTTGCGAGTGCAGAATGGGGAAATCTTTTAAGAACAGTATCAATATTTGACAAATAGTGTTTTCCTAACTCAAACAATGTGGGGTTTATTTTGTCACTATACATTAAAAAGTCAACACCAGCAATCAACAGTCAATTAATACACAACTATATTCTACCAACTTCAAGACCCCGAACATATATGGAAGCAGCAAGAATAATTATGGGCCAATAGGCCTTCTGCAGTTACTTCCATTCTCATGTTTTCATACCCAATTATACCCATTGTTTCGTGTTCTATCTTGTGCTTGTCACCTCACCCAAAACTTTTGTGCCATATCATCTCACCCAAAACTAGTATAAGTATGAATATATTTTGTGTGTAAACTAAGTCTTTGAAAATGTAATAAGGAATTACGAAACGCGTTCAGGCGTTATACAATAAATAAAAATGAAGTTTGGAGAATTGATATTCCAATTACCATCAACAGTGAAGAAAAACTTAAGAAATATTGAGAAAATTCGTGTTAGAATTATTAATCTTACCTTTTCGGTCATATTCAACAGTTTAAACCTAATCAAACCCCTCCAACCACAGGTCCCAACGAGTTGGCAAGAGCAACAGCACGAGCCCTAGTTAGATGCACCCCATCCCGAGCATACATGTCATTTCTTCCACAGAAGTGTTCCTAGTTATCTATGAATGATATTGCATTTGATTTTCAATATTTGTCCAGTCGACAATTGAGACCAAGTGCTCTCGACAACCAATAATTTCCAACTTCCTTTCTTGAAAGAATGCCACATATGATCGGGATTCCTCCCTTGCTCCTAATTCTATGGCTGTCTTAAACCTCTGTATCAGTGTCTCACTCCTAACTCGCCCTACATCACTTCCCCCGGCACTGATACAAATAATGGGTTTGTTCCCATTTCCAGCCATAATATCATTCATATCGTTAACAATATCACCAATTCCAGCTCCGGGATAGCAAACACTTAACCTGTTCCCCTTATCTCTGGCACAAAAAGTTCTATCAAAATACCTCACCTGGGAAAGTTCTATCAAAAGACCTTGCCTGGGAATCTCCCAGAACCAAAATTTGCTTAGGTACTTCCTTTATTTTCTGAGCACATTGAGGGACCTGCGCTCCCTTCGTTGCCTTCCCTTTCGAGCGAACTGCAGGTTCCCTTCAGCACTAGCCTTCCAACTCGACGAATAAGTTAGAAGTCCTTAAGACATCTCTGTAGGCGGCCTCGTCAGAATCTTCTTAATTAAGACCCCTGTCTACGACATTCCAAGACGAAGACTTTCTACTGCTCCTCTTATCCTTTGCTTCCTCTTGACGTTGTTTCATATGTTGCAGTTCCTGCATCTGTCGTATCTCCTCCCACAGGAAATCCACCTCTGCCCTCAGAGCTCCACAGATTCATCAGTTCCTTCATTCAGTATGATCTGCTGCTACCAGAAAGCTTAGCTAAATATCCCCAGTTTGCTAACTGTAGGTAGTAACTAAGTGATTGTAACTTATCCACCGCTGCCCACTGGATGGGGGTGATGTGCAGGACAGTTAGTTTAGTTCATTTATTATGCACCCCATACCCATCTTGGGGGCGGTAGTGGAAAGGGTTACAGAGGCACATAATGGGCTCAGGGACTGAACAACACAATTCATTTAGCCAAGCAAGTTACAATCTTGATGAACTAGTTACAAAATTCAATATAAGTCGTCACATCAACAATGGGTTCGAGATCGACCACAAGTACAGTTTCTAAATTAAGCAACTGACATATGTGGAGAGCTAGTGTCACAATTGATATGTTTGTCCTGCACACCGCCCCCATCCAGTGGGCAGCGGTGGATAGGTTACAATCACTCAGTTACTACCTACAGTTAGCAAACTGGGGATATTTGGCTAAAATTTCTGGTAGCAGATCATTTTGAATGAGATATTTACATATCGTTGAAACATTGGTTATAGAATTGTTTCTAAATTCACGTATCTTTTCGCACTCCATCACATAGTGACGGAGGGTGTGCGAATAATTTTGTTGACACAGTTTACATTTGGTCAGGTCTACATCAGCAGATAATGAGAATTCCCAGAGATACTTGTAACCGAGTCTAAGCCGAGCAGCAGTAACATCTAGAAGTCTGCTGATTTTATTGGATGATCCATAGATGTGTGGCTCCTCTTGCATGATAGTATGATGATAGATGGAATTACTGGTGTCAATTTCACTTTGCCTCAGATCTACAAGATCTTGTTGAAGCTCTCAGTGTACTGCTGCTCTCAGATTGCTCATTGACAATCCAAGGTTACACTCAACGGCTCCTTTAAAGGCAGATTCTTTGGCTAACTTATCAGCTCTATCATACATTCGGAGGCCAACATGAGATGGAGACCACATGAAATGGACTCTGTTACCATCCTTAATAATTTTGTTGTATTTGTGTCTAGCTTCGGACACGAGCATGTTACAGTTATGTCTTAAAGAGTTGAGAGCATTTAAGGACAAACATATCAATTGTGACACTAGCTTTCCTATGTCACTTGCTTAATTTAGAAACTGTACTTGTGGTCGATCTCAAACCCAATGATGATGTGACGATATCTATTGAATTTTTTAACTAGCTCATCAAGATTGTAACTTGCTTAGCTGTTGTTGTTGTTGTTTAAGTTTCGCTACCTGGAACAAAAAGTTCCAAGTAGCACGGGCTATGGTGAGCCCTAAATGTATTGTGGGGTTCAGTCCCTGAGCCCATTATGTGCCTCTGTAACCCTTTCCACTACCGCCCAAAAGATGGGTATGGGGAGCATAATAAATGAACTAACTTCACTACACCTTCCATTATTACTATGATGGCACAACTGTGGCTCAGCTAACACAACCTCTCACTGTGACTTATTGCGCCTCACTGTGTCGGGTAGAGGTATACCAGGTGTTGGGTAGAGGTATACCAGGTGTCGGGTAGAGGTATACCAGGTGTCGGGTAGTGGTATACCAGGTGTCGGGTAGTGATACACCAGGTGTCGGGTAGTGGTATACCAGGTGTCGGGTAGTGGTATACCAGGTGTCGGGTAGTGGTATACCAGGTGTCGGGTAGTGGTACACCAGGTGTCGGGTAGTGGTACACCAGGTGTCGGGTAGTGGTATACCAGGTGTCGGGTAGTGGTATACCAGGTGTCGGGCAGTGGTATACCAGGTGTCGGGTAGTGGTATACCAGGTGTCGGGTAGTGGTATACCAGGTGTCGGGTAGTGGTATACCAGGTGTTGGGTAGTGGTATACCAGGTGTTGGGTAGTGGTATACCAGGTGTTGGGTAGTGGTATACCAGGTGTTGGGTAGTGGTATACCAGGTGTTGGATAGAGGTATACCAGGTGTTGGGTAGTGGTATACCAGGTGTTGGGTAGTGGTATACCAGGTGTTGGGTAGTGGTATACCAGGTGTTGGGTAGTGGTATACCAGGTGTTGGGTAGTGGTATACCAGGTGTTGGGTAGTGGTATACCAGGTGTTGGGTAGTGGTATACCAGGTGTTGGGTAGTGGTATACCAGGTGTTGGGTAGTGGTATACCAGGTGTTGGGCAGAGGTATACCAGGTGTTGTGTAGAGGTATACCAGGTGTTGGGTAGAGGTATACCAGATGTTGGGTAGGGGTATACCAGGTGTTGGGTAAGCGTACACCAGTGTCGGGCGAGGAAAGATGAGGGTAATGAAACAGCGGGTTTAGGGAAGCACCGTGGTGTGGAAACAATAGGGGAAGGGCAAGGCTATGTTAGTTGACCACCAAGTGTAAGGTAGATGAATGGCATGTGTCAGGTATGGTCATACCAGGGGTGGGGGAACAGACTCACCTCAGAATGGTGGAGGAAGCAATCCTGTACAAAAACCTGGTCACCTTAAAATCCACTGATACTGTATTATACACTTTTCACCTTCAGAGTAATCCACTTGTGCACACGGAATCACAACTACGCATTCGTTTGACTAGGAATTAATCCCAAAATCACTGGCATTGGAGATATGAACGTAAGGCCACACGGAACGTCCTCCTCCCTCCACGACCGTCACACCTCGACTAGCTGGGGTTGAACAGCTGCTAGTCTGAGCAACGTATTGTGGTGTCGCGAGGAGAATTTTAAATTGCTAGCTAGACGCTCGCGCGCACACAAACCCATCCTCCAGTTTAGACTACTTTCTGTAACTGTGTCTCCATTGTACATATATTGGCGTTATGGACAATTAGATAGTAGTGTTTGGTAATATTCACTTCATTGTCCTGAAAAAATAATGCTTAAAAACAAACAATTATTTCAAGGCCTTGTATAGCACATATGTATGTACTATATTAGGCATAGATAGCGTGTATTAGGCCTAGGACGGTTAGGTTTTATTAGCAACAAAAATACAAAACCTTTTCCGATTTGTCCAAAATCAATAGTACCAAATTCTACTTTCTAATTGTCTATTACTTGAACAAGCTGTCCTGCTTGAATTGTCCTACAGTTAAATTTGTTTTACAATTGTCCTACTTGAATCCAATTCATGTAGGAGAAAAGCTCACTCCATCGTGTGATCACAATATTCTAAGATGGAATACAATTACAGAAACTCTCGTAAAGGTCAAGAATGATGACCTTCTAGATCAATTACTATCAGGGAATGAGAGACGAATTGCAGAACACCTCATGCATGCTTTTTTTCGCGTATATTCCTGCGCGGGCACTAAGCCTCTGGCTGGCCCACTAAGTGTTGCTTGTTTTTGTTTTGCTTGGGCGGAGTATGAGTATTTATGACTCGTATGGTCGCTTCAGTGAGATTTTGCCCCATGTGTTTAACAACTTCTTCTGCTCTGTAGAATCTAAGTTGAAATCTTAATGGGGTTGTAACTCTGAACTGTGTTAGATAATGTTCCAGTGGTCTGTCGGGCATTTATCCACTGTGCTAACATTTCCTCTCATCTTTCGGAACCTGTAAGCCTATTTCCCAGGCACATGGGCATCCAAGCCTGATGAGATGTAAGTGTACTTTTGTTGTTCTACTGCTCCCTTTCATCAAAGTAAGTGGTTCGTAGTTGGTTGAATCCTTGTACCAACCCGCAGATCCTGATGTTGCAACTGCTGTAATGTGGTCACTGTACATATTTAATTTTTTTTTTTTTAATTTTGCCCCGAGGGGCGAGTTTATTGGGCAGCGCCACTCATCTTGTGAGTGGACACACCGCCATAGCAGCATGTACAAGTCCCCAATAGGAAGAAAACCCGCTGGGTTGTTCATCCTGTCACTTGTACCCAGACACAGCTGGGACTTGCTTAACTGTCTCAAGTGAACAGGTCCTCAAACAAGAAGATTAACATCTATCAACCCTTAAAAGCTTACGTTATCTTGCGTGTGCAAAATGGGGAAATCTTTTAAGAACAGTATCAATATTTGACATAGTGTTTTCCTAACTCAAACAATGTGGGGTTTATTATTCTACACATATTCCTAATGTCTCTCAGGTGTTCACATTCACGTAGATAGTGGTCAAGGCGATGTCCATCACTCTCACCACAGATTCTGCAACTTCGCTGATCAACTGTTGTTTCCATTCCAAATCTCCATGGATATTTGTATCTAAGACGGATTCTCGCTATTACTGATTCTCTCCCTCGTCCTCCTCCTCTTCGGCCATAATGACTGGGATTGCCAGCAGCAACCATGTTGTACCATCTTATAGATTCACTGGTTTGTGCTTCTATCCTCCTTTCCTCAGTTACCTTCTCACGGTGATGTTGCCCGATAATACCTCTAATTTGTAGTTGAGTCTTGGGTATGAAGTATTCAATATGGCATATTTTGCATTGTTCTGCTTCTAATTACTTTCCTAATCTGTGATAGACTCTGTGGTATGTAAATGTCTACATTTCTTCTCTTAGTTGCAAGTTTTGCAGTTTCGTCTGCAATGTCATTTCCTATTATTCCCACATGACTTGGCACCCAGTTGATAAGTACCCGACAGCCTTGACGTTTGAGTGTCTGCATTAATGATATGACATTTGTAATCAGGTGGATGTTATCACGCATGTGTTCTTGTTGCAAGGTTTCAATGGCAGTTTCCGAATCTGTATGTATGATAACATGTCGGTGTTCAGCAAGAGCATGTTCCAAAGCCTTTTGAATGGCTAGCATCTCTGTAAAGTTGAACACTCATTTGAGTCTCCAACTATTTGCAGTTTCCTGCCTTTAACTGCAGCTCCGGTTTCTTGTCCCTGCTGGTCTACTGATCCATCTGTGAAGTATGTGAAGCTGTCACATGCCAAG